AATGTGAATAGATGAATTAATTAGTTAAAGACTAAGTGCTTATAAGGATTTGAAATACAAATATCAGACTTGGAGTCCAGGATGGCCCCTTTAACCACCTGCATGAAACAGTGAAATTTATTTCACATTCCAGATCTTTAGTTTCTCAACCTTTAAATCAGAAATAATACTATCCATTCTTTATACTTCATATTCTATCCTAAGGCAATGTCAAATAATGGATATTGATGTGCTTCATGAATTACAAAATGTGAGCAGTTATTATTTGACCGATTTTTCTCTTGAGAATCATTTGTAGGGTCTGACAAAAGGATTAATTAATCACTCCAAATTATTAATTTCTCAGTTCCTTCAAAAAGAATTGAAAAAATAATTAACATCCATAAAATATTTATTGAGTATTTACTATGTACGGCACTGATCTTGATAGACCAGAAATAGATCACAGAGCACATGGTCAATTCCCGTTCACAGTAAGCATACTTTCTGGTGGGTGATACAAGGTGGTATCTTAGCTTTTCATGTGCTGCTGGAACAAATTTCCACAGGCCTATTGCTTCAAACAACCCAAATCGATTATCTTAACATGGTCAAAAGGCTGGCATGTTTCACAGGTAAACTCAACATTTAGACAGGATTGTTTCTTTTCTGGAGGCTCCAGAGGAGAATCTGTTTCCTTGCCTTTTCCAGCCCCGAGAGGCTGCCTGCCTTGCTTGACTTATGGCCCCTGTCATGCATCTTCAAAGCAGCCATATCAGTGTAAGTCTTTCTCATGCTGCCATCTCCCTGGCTTCACATTGAATTCCTTGCCTCCCTCTTTCAGTCATAAGGAACCTTGTGATTACTTTGCACCTACACTGATAATTCAGTGTAATCTACCTATTTTAGAGTCATTTGATCAGCAACGTTAATTCCATCTACAGCCTGAATTCCCCTTTTCTGTGTAAGGTAACATATTCACAGATTCCAGAGATTAGAATGTGAGCATAATTGGGAGGCCATTATTCTGCCCACCGTAGTATCTCCCTCTGTCCCTTAGCTCACTGTACTCCTTTTCATTAAAAACTAACACATGTTATTCTCTTTATTTGTGAATCTGTGCTATCGCAAACCAAATGGTAAAAATATAGACATATAAAGCAATGTGAGTGCAGGCAGTCTCAATGATCAGAAGAAATCTATGAGAAAAAATGCCATGTAAATTGTAATGTGACAAATAAAAGTTGCTTTATTATTCTTTTCTACTAGTAAGTAGGTATAATAACAATGAGAGAGCACTCCTCCAGCACACCTTGTCTTAAGGAATTTAGCAATTGCTACTTTGTGTTAATGGTGAGCATATTATTTCCTCTACTAGAGTTTGAGGTGATTGGAGGCAGGCACTCGAATTCATCAGTTTATTCTACATTGCAGCCAGCACATTGGTCTTGTATGAAGTAGTTATGATCTAGATACTGTGATGGGTGCTAGAAATAGAAGCTGAGAATATAGAAGTAGTCCTTATTTTTCCTGAATTTAGAATTTAGAGGCAAATATATATTCATTGTGTTACTGGCATTGCAAAATGAAATAGAAAAAAAATTAAAAAGAGGAAAACTACCAATAACAACAAAATATCCTTTTCCATATCTTCTGCTATTGTGCACTTGTTTTGTGACTTACAGAGCTATAGAAGCAGAAATTACTTGATAACCTATTGCTTTCAATTGTATTCCCCCAGAAGCCAACCATGAGATAAGAAATTGGTTGCAATGTGTTTATATAGACGCTGGAGCAATTACCAGTATGGAGATGGAACGTGAGATGGTGGAGGAAAGTCAGAAAATAAAAGGCAAATCATTAAGACAGTACCACTAAAAAATTCTACATTATTACTTTTGAAAAATAAGTTGTAAATTAGAGGAAAGAGATACCCTCAAACATGTGTTCAAGCGAAGTTCCAGATATGGTATGGATACATATAGTTTAAAATTTTAGGTAAAATTAGAAAAATCTGGGACAATCCATTTGCTCACTGATGATTACTACTTACTGCCAATCCAAACACTAACCATCCCCCTGACCAAAAGCGAACTCCAGGCTAAGTTGGGGACAGGAGCTCTGCTTCAAACTTTAAGAGTCCCTCTTGGGTTTCAGCAACCAGTTAGCCACAAGAACCCTCAGCATTCCACAGGACACTTTCTGGCCTTCTGTTTCTAGGCCACAATGCAACCTTGTCTCTTTCAGCCTGACAAATTAAGGAATTTGTGTACAAAATGAAGTATAAAATTGTACCGATGAAAGAAGGATTGATGAAACAGTCCTTTTTTTGTATTTATTTAAGAGTTATCTAGTAACCAGTAAATATAGTTCACTCTGGAAGGTATACGTATAGAAGAGACATAAACACAAATTAAATTCTGACCTTGGGGAAATGGAATATATGGCATCAGATCTAGCGGAGGATTTAAGGTATCTATGTAGATGATTAAAATGTATGGTAGAGAGTATGATAAAATGATATATGAAGGATCTAAATATATTGCTATAGGATTTCTGAACAGATAACAATTAATTTGGGCTTAAAGGACAGAGTTGGGGAAAGTAGCACTGGAGATAATGTTTAGACACATGGAGATGGGGAGAAGAAGGCAAAGAATTACAGATACATACAGCATACAGTAAAAGAAATAAGACAGACTTTAGGCAATGCAGGAATGAGGAGTCCATCCTTTAGGCTGGAATGTTAGGTAAATTTACAAGAGCAGTGAAATTAAGCTGTGTTTTGGAGAGTTGGTCAAGGAAGGCCTCGGATATACTAATTGGGAAAAGAATTGGGGATCAGATAAGCTTTTGGAGGATTAGTTTCACAGTTCTTTGAAGGATGGGGGAGACCCATGAGAGAAACCACTGGGAGCATCATCACTGTCCCCACAAGACTTACTGAGGTAGAAAAAGATGTTTGTTAAAACTCTGAAACACGGCAAGCCCCATACATAGGATTTTACTTTTTACTAGTAAATACCTTTTCATAATCACTTTTAATTAATTTCCCTAAGCAAGAAAATCAGACTCTAAAGACATAGTATTTGAAAGCCACATGAGGGAGGAAGCCCGTTGAGGCCCTAAGACATTGAACAATGGGCATTGTTTGACTTCGGTGGATTCCTGATGCGTGTTTGTAAAAGATTCTATTCTGAAAGGAACCAAGCATTCTTCTGAAACACTGGCCTCTTCTCTCTCTAATTTTAGTCCCCTTTTTCTACCTCTGTTTTTATGCTGCTATAACTTTTAAAGGGAGTATTTTACTACCTCTCCTCTCCCCGGGTAGTACTTTCATAGCCAGCGTACTGAGAAGGTCACTTCTATTATGTTCTCTTTCAATCCAAAGAGTGATGTCCAGACAAAAGTCGTCTCCCAGAAAAAATGCTCACATAGCTTCAGTTGGCTTAGGTAGGCTATGCTGCACATGTGCCTCCTGTAACAGCTTAGCCTTCAGAAAACCTCTCAGGGGCATTAAGTGTGGCTAGGAGCAGGCTTCCTGATATAGTTATCATTTATAATGTAGACGGCCATGTCAAGCAATGAGAACTGAGGCATTTCTAAAACTAAAGAAATATAAAAGCTGTTCCCCTTAATCTGTGTCTCTCATGCTTTTGCGTGCCTTGTTGTTTGTTTGTTTTTTTAAAGATTTTTTATTGGGGAATTGGGGGAAGGGGAACAGACAAGTTGCTATCCTTTTGTTCTTCAGTCTAGTTGTGGAGGACGTTGCTTCACTGGTCCAAGTTGGCACCATCATTGCGCTCTTCCCGGGCAAGGCAGATCAGTCCCTGGCTTCTGGACGGCCACTCACTGCGGCTGCTGGCCGCTCACGCTGGCTGCTGGTTACACACGGTAGCTTATGGCAGCCCACTGCAGCAAGGGCTGCAGCCTACGCTGTCGCCGGTAACTCATGGCAGCCCAGCTCCAGGTTGAGCTGTTGTTCAGCGTCTTAGCTGTAGAGGGCAGTGTCACTGGCCCTCATATGTGGGATCTGAACCGGGGTCCTCTGGCGTCCCAAGCCAACTTTTAACCAACGCGCCACTCGGCCGGCCCACTGCATGCCTTGTTTTAAGTAAACAATTTCATTTAAAAGCATTCTGTTCCTGACAGTACTCCTCTGTGGGAATGTTGAACAATCTGAGTCTCAAATCAAGTGTGAAAAGTTGCACCATTTCTAATTCCCGAGCCCCATGAAAGGAGTAGATCTGATCAAATGCAACACCAAGGGGCTTATGGCATGGTATATTAGGAACACCTGATGTCAGGCAAAGTGACATCTAAAGATACTAGCACAATCTCCCAATAAATGTAGTTAATGTTTACTTAGGGCAAGGTCAATAAAGTTCATAGTATAAGGTGCTGTCAGCCAAAAGGGAACTGCATAGAATGGGCCATGGGAGTTTGTTGGGGTTTTTGTTTGTTTGTTTTGCTTTTTTATCCCCTGCCAGCCCCATTATTCCAGTTTATTTTCCCAATGGCTCCTCGTTAATCTGCAAGAGATGCAACAGGTTTGTTAAAATATAGTCATCCTTTGGTAACCTGGCCTTTTAATGGATTCTGGCAGGTGTTTGTTTTTTCATTAAAGGACAATATGTCCTGGACAACAGGTGTTCAAATCTCCTTTGTGAATATCAAAAATGACAGTTTTCAATGCTATTGTTGCCATTGCTTCTTATCACACGTGGCTCCTGTTTTCCTGAAGGCAGCCTGCTTTGTGGATGTTATTGCATTTGTCTGCACAGTATGGTATGCAGCCGTCAACTCTTACTAGCCTAGTTTTACAGGTGTTAAAACAGACATGCTGGCATTTTGTGACTCCCTCAATGTCACAAAACAGAAATAGATCTGCTACTCTTTCCTGGATCCCCTGGGTGACCCGTGTATTTCAATAGGAGGAGGAGGGTGTGAGGCAGTTAGAGAAGGACAGAAAAGGAAATGACTATGGCTTTTCCTTCCTCCCATACCCTCTGTTTCCACAGGTTCATTGAATCTTATTTGTCAGGCCTGTGTGTGGGAAAACTTAGAGCTTTGAGCTTCCAAATCTTGTGCATCATCACAAAGCAGATTAAAAGGCAGCGCCGCCATTTGAACCAACCAAGCTGACTCCTGAGACCATTCCCACTACATTTTGAAGGTAAATTTGTCATTATTTGTCGTTATCTGTCAGAAGGACTACACAGAAACAGATCTGCCGCTTAGCCATCTAGGCTTCATGTTTAGAGAAGTAGAGATGAATCCCAGAAAGGCAGCTGGGGTCAGGTTTGCAAAGAGCGTGAGCTTTGGATTAGGACTGATGTGGACCTGAAGTAGAGTGAGGGCACTGCCTCTGGCTCTCACTAAGTGTAAAATCTTTATCAGGTACTTAATACCATGTACTTAACTTAATTAAACGTGGTAATGGAGATCCTAACATATTCTTGAGAAAATACGTTTCCTGGGATTGATTTTACAAGGCATCTATATTGTTAATGCATTTCCAATTCCTAATTCCCTCCCTTGCTGCAATTTTATATTAATGAAACCTAGGTTCTACATTAAAATGATACACATAAGATTTAATTATGCAATTGAATATCTTTAAATGGCACTTTATTATGAGAACTGAAATCAGGGAGACTTTTTCTAAATATGAAGCCATCAGTAGCCACTAAATTTTATCTGTCATAAGGTAAAGGTCGCAATAGAGCCATTAGAAATCAGTTTCACTAAACAGTTCAGTGATAATCAACTACCTTTCTCAATTGAAAATAAGCAGTTAAACACTAAAATTTGATGGAGACATGTATATGTTTTTTGTTGTTTTTTTTTTAAGCTGAGCCATCCTGCTACCTGTTGGCAGCTCAGCGGCTGCTCAGCGGCTGCTCAGCTCGGACTGGACTCGAACCACTGTTGCTCAGAGCTCAAACTCTTGAGCGAGCTCTTAACCAACTGAGCCACTCGGCCAGCCCCTCTACATGTATATGTTTTTATATATAACAGCTACATTTGTAGGAAGAGCATCATTTATACCACAATTACGAATGGTAAGCAGACTGTACAAAGACCATTGACTCAAGAATGCAGAAGTTCTCGATAAAATTTTTCTGTTTCATAATGGGAAACTGAATGTTAAGTATATTGAATCAGAGAGTAAGTTCATACTTAAAAATTAAAGGAGAAAACAGAACAATTTTGTTTGCACACAAACCAAACTATAATCTAGAGATCAAAAGCATGGCCAAGATACCAAAATGTTAGAGGTATTAGTTTTATTTAACCCTAATTACTTCAGCTGTGAACATTATTGCTGTCATTTAATGCCCAAAATTTCTGTTTGAATTTAAAATGTTCAATTTGAGATCAAATGAACTGAAAAGGCTTTTTTACTATATCTGTTATAAGCCAAATTGAAATTTTTTTAAGGCAACAGGCGTAGCTAAGACTAAGTGAATAAGAGAGAAATTCTCTATGGTTTAATATTTCCCAGTGGACTTTAAAAGTGAGCTACAATTACCCACTCAGACTGGTTGGAAAAAAATCAAAAGACCTTTAAAATAAGGTAACCTGAGCAAGAGCTTAAGAAATTAGCTGACTTTCTTAAGTAGGAAATTCTGAATTCCTTTGAGTTTATTCTCAGAATTCATCAGTTTCCTAATGTGCAGTGAAATCCACTTCAGCATAAATTGAGATATTTGGCATTCAAATCAGGAATTTGAGTAGCAAGCTCATAAATTACAGATAATAGAATCACTGAACCAAGGGAACCATAGAGATTATCTCTTCAATTGAGAGAGGAGGAAATTAAAAGTGTTAAAAGTTTCAAAGAGCTTTCACACACATCATCTCACTTGTTCTCACAGCAGTTTTTGAAGTAGGTACATACATAGTAGTCAGGTCATGTTATAAATGAAGGAAACAACACATAGATACCATCTTCTGGTTGGTCTGCCATCTTCTGGTTGGTCCTTGGAGGCAACAAACATCCTAGAAAACTGCTGAGGATACTGGGGTCTTGGAGGCAGACACAGAATATTCAGTGATGAATATCTGTAGCGATGGGTGGTGATTGGAAATCACCAAGAACTTTCAGAACAGTTCCAGAAGGAGACTCAGATGGGAAGTCCAATGGCTATGTGTGGCATTCTGAAATCTCCATAGTTAAGGATGGCCCCCTCTCTGCACAAGGAAGAGGAAAATAACTAAATCTCTAAAAATGTATCAATGGAGAAGCCAACTGACTTAAATCTGCATAACAACCATACTATTGTTTACTGTATTTTGCCTGTTAACTTCCCATAACTGCCCCCACCCCTCCATCTCCCATTCCCCCCCCACACACACACACACATCTTCTTTTGTTTTTAGTTGGAGTTGGTATTTGAAGTTGTGGCTTTGGCCATTTCAGGGAGTTGCTCAGTTTTCCTGGGTATCTCCCCTGTATAACAGAAGGTATACATGTTATTAAATTTGTTTGTTTTTCTCCTGTTCATCTGTGTTTTATTCGGGGGTGAGGGGTCTCAGCCAAGAACATAGAAGGGTAGAGGTAAAATTATTTTTTTCCCCTCCATTACTGTAGCACCAGCAGAAGCCCAGGGAGACTGAACATGCAGTTATAATAATGAGCTGGAGGCAAGACAAACTTGTGTGAGACAAGGCTCTGTCTCTTCCATTTGGCTTTGCCCTTCAAGAAAGTCACTTATTTCTCTAAGCCTCAGTTTCCTGGAGTTTGAAGTTTAAATGATATAATGTTAAATTGCTTATTACAGAGTGTTTGGAACACGAAAGCCTCAAAATAACAAATTCTATTGTTTAAAATGTATCTCTCTTATCTAGATTTTTTTTTTTTCCAAATGAACCAGGCCTAAAGCAATATGCAATATGTGTCATCTGAACCTGGAATTAGTGGGTGGCAAATGCCTGGAATGTATTTCTTATAACTTAAGTGTCTGATCCAAAATTATTGGAGACAGAACAGAAAGCAAGTTTTCTTACTTCCAAGTTATTTATTTCCCTTTAATAAGCTATTATAGCTTTGTAAACTCTTTTTTAATTAAAAAAAATCCATTCCCTTTAATATTCTCAAATGGTTGTTAAATTAACCCCCAAATATCCATCAGACCATTTATAACTATTATTTTTAATTTTATGGACACTATCATTGCTTATGATAAATTTGCTAATTCCGTTAAACAGCGGGATGCTGTACAACAGTATCTGCAGTTTTGCTTTCTGTGGGTTCAGTTACCTGTGGACAGCTGTGGCCTGACAACATTAAATGGAAAATTCCAGAAATAAACAAGTTTTAAACTGTGGGCCGTTGTGAGTAGAGTGATGAAATCGCACGCTGCCTTACTTCATTACGCCCAGGATGTGAACCATCCCTTTGTCCAGTGTACCCGCCTGTTAGTCACCTAGTACCCATCAGTTACTAGATCAAAACTGTGGCAGGAACCAGTGTTTGTGTCCCAGTAACCCTTATTTTACTTAACATTCTTGCCAAAGCACAAAAGTACTGATGCTGGCCATTCGGATATGCCAAAGAGAAGTCATAAAGTGCTTCCTTTAAGTGGAAAGGTATGTATGTATACCTTTTAGTATATATAGGGTTTGGTACTATCTGTGGTAGTACTACTGGTAGTCTTAGAACATATCCCCTGTGGATAAGGGGGACTATAACTATTTTAATGTTCCACCTTGTGGGGCATGTAAACATGGAGAAAGTCACTTAATTTTCTCATGGTTGTTATCTTAAGAGGGAAATTCTGAGTCTTCAATTAGGAGAGATTTTTTTTTTTCCCTTGAAGCAAGCGGTATATTTGACTAAAGCATGAAAGTAAAATCATGTTTGCAAGCAGTTGCAAACATTTTACCAATTAAAATTTTAAAATTACTAAAAGCAAAAAAGTAGTTATTCAAAACACAATATTTTTAGTTTTCCAACATATATTGTCATGGTACGCGTGATCTTAACATATGCCCTGTTTTCTTTTATCTCATCTTACCAAAAAACTCAACGTAAGCTTCTAATAAATTAATTTTGACTGTTCTAAAATTTCAAATAAGTAGAACCATTCCAGATGTATTGTTTGTTTCAACTTCTTACACATAGCATACCTTGTGATATACTCAGGTAGCTGTGCGGATCAGCACTTTGTCACCTGTTATTCCAGAGTAGCCTCCCGTTATTTAAGTATAATGTTTCTTTATCCATTAACCTTTGGTAGACATTTTATTTAGTTTAGAGGTTTTGGTTATTATAAATATAGTGTCTATGAACATTGAAATGCAGGTGTTTTAGACATATATTTTAATTTCTTTTGAGTATATATCTAAGAGCAGGAGCGTTTGGCCATAGGACTGCTTATGTTTTATTAGAAACACTCAGACCAGTGAAATATTAATGAACTCTCCTTTCTGCACATTTTTTACTGATATTTGGTGTTGTCATTTTGTTTTGAGCTAAGTTTAGCCATTTTTGTGGGTATGAGATAGTATCTCCTTGTAGTTTAATTTTGCACTTTCTAAAACTAATGATGCTGAGCACTCTTTTTTTGTGCCTATAGGGCATTTTTATGTCTTTTTTTCCTTTTTCTTTCTTTTCTTTGGTAAAGTATGTGAATCCTCTGTCTATTTTTATTAGAGTTCATGTTTTTACATTATTGTGTTGTTGGAGGTCTTTATGTATTATCTATATAAATTTGGAACAGATGTGTTTTTCCAGTCTGTGACTTGCCTGTGCATTTTCTTAATGGTCTCTTGGATAAGCAGAAGCCTTAATTTTGATGAACTCTTACTTATTTTTTTACTTTTTATGGTATTGCTTTCTGTGACTTATGTTAGAAAAATTTGCCTTCCCCCATGTTGCAATGTTATTATTTCATATTTTTTTCTAGATGTTTTATAGTTTTAGATTTGATTTTTAGTTCTGCATGCACCTCAAATTATTTTTGTGCAAGATGCTAAGTAGTCATCAAGTTTGTTTTTGTTTTTGTTTTTTTTCCTTATTTAATGGATATACTCATGGATTATTTATTGAAAATATCTTTCCTCATTAATTGCTTTGTTTTATTTATTGAAAATTGATTTATTTATGCCTATAGGTTTCTTTCTAAGTATGCATGTTGAACAGACTATTTGATTTTTTTCTGTATTTGA